TTCCGTTAAGTAAACTGTATTTTTTGAGTTTATTTAAATAAATTAGCATATATGTTGAACATAGTCAAATTTGGCACTCTTATATGCTTTGATCCCGCATTTCAGCATTTTCAGACACGTGCAGATAATGCCACCTACTTCATGAAAATACCCTAGCATTTCACTTGATAGTAACTGGAAACCACAGTATTTCTTTTGTCATGAGTGGAAAAAAAACTGTGATAAAAAAACTTTCACACTAACTAACTAACTTCAGATTGTTTGACAAGACAAATATTTGAGTGGTTGACCTCGTTCTTTAACACAACAATCAGATGGGAAGTGTTACTTTGTGTTGTTTGTTTCTTGTCTTTGATGAGTTATGAAACAAAATAACAAAAAAAGTAGTGGTTTTAAAGTTCCTACAGTCTCAGTATACCTCAAAACTTGTGAGCAGTTTTTTTTTACAGCATTGCAACAGTGTGCTTGTGCATTTGTGACTTGTGGTGAAATGTGATGAAACTAAAAATGATCGAGCTCTCCGTTTTCATGCCCCATCACTTTGTGTGTGTATGTAGCTTCATTTTATTTTCCAATAATGACTCAACCTCTTCCTTGAGTTGGAGAATCAGTTAGTGTAGCTGTTGAGACATTTCAGTACTGGCTTGTATGTCATTGTGTGTCACCCATTTCCTTCTTCCCACATGTCTTTTTTTCACACTTGTATTGAAGGGGGGATATGACTTTTCAGCGCTTTCTATCTGATTAAAAAAAAAAGTAGAGCCAGAATGTGAAGGAGGACTAAAGAGCAGAGTCAATTACTACCTTTTTCTCTATCCCTTCAAAGGGGAGATCAAAGCTGATCCCCCCCACCTTCCCACAACCCCCCCCCCTTCCTCCTTCAGCTCAACCCCCATCCCTCAGCTTCTATCAGAACTAGTCTGTTAATTTGTTCTTGCTATTCTCCCTTATTGAAAATCAACAAATTCATCGCTCACAAAGTCTACATGCAGGAAAACCTGAGCTGGTCACTAATACATGTATACACGCTCATCTTCATGTCACTAATGCTCCGGCTTCATGCAAGTACCAACAAATATTTGTCTGATTGCTGATTCGACTGGTTCCGTATTATTTATCTGAGCAAATGTTGTACATTTCCAGCTGATAACAATCCTTGTGAGTCCTTTCTCTTAGGAGAAGCCATTCAGGCCATAAATCATACTCTCACACACAATCATACTCTCCCACACACCTTTTAGGTCATAAATCTTTTTTTAACACATAGAGGGGTAATACGCACACACACACACACACACACACACACACAC